TTTTAGTGGCACCATATTTCCTGCTAAAATCTTGGTACAAAATTTTGTCTTAACTTTATGTATTTTTTTTATATTTTTCCTATTGGGTAGTGATGATCAAAAATTTGAAAAAAAAATGATTTTAAGTTTGATCTGTGAATGTGACAAAAGTTAACTCTGGTAACTCAAAGGGTTTAGCCAAGGTTTTAGAAGCTCATTTCATCATCACCTCCTCATCTGAAGAATCATATTCATATTCATCTTGAATTGGATCAGAATTCTCTATTCCACTGTCAATGTATTCCTTCTTTGTTTTTTCCATCCTACTGTCAATTTGTCTTGTTTTCCTCTTTGTTTTCTTTTTCATACTCTTGTTATCCTGATTGATGCTAGTTTTCTCATCTGCAGATGTTGACGCCTCGTCTGAATTCTGTAAAAAACAATTAATGGTCACCGTGATTTTACAAGCTACTGTAAATGCATTGATTATTCATTGGGTTTTAATTACGCTATTTTCGCTGATAAGTAAAATCCGTAAAATTAAATATACATGAACATGTAAAATAACAATAAAACTCATTGTTTCCCAATGAGTGACCCCATGACCTTGACTTCCCCTTATCTTTTGAGGTCATTTATTGAACTCAATCACTGCAGATAGTAAATAATTATCATCACAAACATTTTTATGCCAAATACGCATTCCTATCTCAAAGTTTTTACCTCTTCAGAAGTGTCATCATCTTCATCTTCCGATCTGTAATCATCATCTTCTTCCGATTTGTCATCTTCCTCATCACTGGATATTTCCTCTTCTAATTCAGAGAAATAACTTTCCTCACTTTCAGACTCATCATCATTAGGTTCATTAACAAATGAAGAATTTGTAAACAAGTCATCCAACTGTAAGAGAATATTAACAGGGATTTCTTTTAACAAGGAAATAGGGGTGCAGCGCCCTCATGCCATGGTCATGCGCCCCCTTACCCTGGGGAACAGATCCTCTGGCAACCATAAAATTCTGAATGACCAGGGATCACATGTTGCCACAGTCTTCAACTGTGATCTGTCTGAAAGTAGTTTTGGCCCCAAGGAAGCCACAGAATGCTCCACTTCAACTTAGAATTATCAAAAACTCCACACCCTAGTAGGGAGAACCCTATCTCTCCCACTTGGTAACATCGTTGAATTGCTGTTTTTTTCTAGAAAAACCCCTAAAGAATATGTGATATGAAACAGACTGTAAACCAACAAACAAGAATTGGTGAATTGGGAATTTTAAAAAAGTGCATGTCCACATCTACACATACTGGTATATGTTTAATTTAAAGTCTTCAAGAGGGAGGGTAACATGGTTACTTTGTTAAACCGAAAAGTTCATCTTTTTTGAGATGATCCTCAGGTACAGTACTCATTTACCCCCAACCTCCCGCCCACTAATTATTGTTGTTTTTCCCCAAGGCGTAGACAAGGTGAAGGACCATGAAGCTAAATGGCAGATCCATATATGGACTGAGTGAAAGAAAATATTTCTAAGCCTAAAATAAAACTCAATATTACTACACCTCTTTGTGCATTTGTTAATTTCACATATGTTTTCATGACAGTATGTTTGTAAATATCTAGAAAAATCTCGTCTTTTGTTAATAATTTTGATTGTTTGGAATGTCTGTCGACCATGTCCCAATAATTTGTTTGGAATATCGATCCAGTTGGTTTCTACATACTAAGTTAATGGCGGGCGTCGGTCCCGACGTCCGGCATTCAACACAATCAGCCGAGACAGGACAAACATTGACCGTAATTTATGGGGATCATGTCCCGTAATTTGTGGACTGAAAACTCAAATAACAAGTATTATTATTATTATATATATTTTACATATATATTTTATTTTACCTCACGAAACTACAACAGATCTAGAGTTGTTCCTGTGAAACAGCTGCCTTGAAGTCGATGCAACTTCAACTAGCCATTTCTTACCTTGAAATAAAAAATAAATAAAAATTCGAAGAGCATCGGGGAATATATTAATAACCATTCTTAGCAATCGCTTGCTTTATTTTATTCCAATCCATGAAATTCACAAGTTTTTCGACATTTGTTGGCAACTTCCGTGCTAAAAATGGTTGAAAATGTGGGTGTGGTTCTCTCGCAAAGTCCTGTTGATAATACAGACAAATATGGTTCTGTGACCCAGATTGTGCTCCGATCAGGTGACTCTCAGCCAATCAATGATGTTGTAACAAAGCATATTTGACGCTAATTGAAGGGTCGTCGTACCATCCAATCTCCGGAGTCGATTCGCATAATTTTTTGTGTGCCGAGACAGGCTTCAAAATTATTCACTGAAAAACATCGGTATATTTTGCCAAACGGGTGGGATTTGATTTGAT